GCTGGTTGATAGGAAAATTTGCTATCAGCTGTGCTTTTATGTCGCTATTCGTGTATGCCAGTGAAATCTTCCCCACATCTATACGGAACGTCTCCGTGGGTCTATGTAGTGTTCTGTCTAGAGGAGGAGCTATTGCCGCTCCATACATACGATTACTAGTACGTTTCAAGCAGTGGATTGACTTCCTAGCCATCAAACAGATTGAATAATTGCAGGGTTCACTTTGGCCATCTTCACCTATGTATCTACTGGCGTCGATGTCGTTTATGGCTTCGGTTCTCACATGCCTACTACCCGAAACACATCGGAAACCTCTACCAGCCAACATTCGTCAAACTGCTCTTGAATCTGAATCTAAAGATCTCCCCACTTAACGGCTCATAAGCTATCTGATTTACAAAAGCCTATATCTAGCTACCATTGATCAATTGCACCTAGGGACAGATTAGGGAAAAGAATTAAGGGTTTGCACATCAAGTACGCGCGCGGTCGCGTCGCGTTCAATTCGCAGACACGCTACGCAGCGATGGCACAAGTTTCTCTATTGAGACCGAAATTCAAGGAAAAACTGAAGGAATTAGCCTTTGTCGAGAAAATTTCAGAAAGCGTCATCCCGATTTATTTTCACCCTGAATTATTGTGACGCCCGAATACTTTTTAGGCCAGAGCAACAAAATTGCACCAATGAAACGGTGCAGGCTCAATCTTTCGAGCCACCATTCAGTTTTCGCTATTCAACCAACCCAATAATTTTTGAAAATGAACGGTTTCAGAGAAAACGGCCTTTTCAACTTTGAGAAATTCAAGGCCAGGCTAAAACCATGCCACCGTTGCGCGTGCATTTGTTTTCACACCCTTTATGAACACATTTATGAAGTGGCATGTACTCGTTTTTGTATTGTATACTTTTTCAATTATTTTTGGGTCACGAAGAATCCCAGTTTTTAAGTAGCCATGGTCAAGTATGCAGTGACGAATCCTTCCCATCCACGGGTCCTTAGTTATCAGCTAGGATTCGGGAGGGTGATTGGAGAATATTACTCACTGCTATATTAGACCATGATTCGATAGCATCTCAAGGTCGTACTTAGCGAGACTCTAACCACCCGTCGCCAGCTACAGTAGCCCAGGCCACAGTAGTGGTGGTGTTGTTATGAGACCTTCATGTTCACTTATTTATGCCTAATAATAGAATGTCTATTATTGCATATCTACCACTGGACTCCTTGTTTCTTTTTCATCACCAACAAAACTTCTAAATATTCAGATTAATCAATAATAAACGTTGGTCTAAACTATGTTAATATTGAAGGACAAAGGTGAGGATGAAGTCTTTGAACAAAGATCAATCCCGTTAGAGGGACGCGCCCCGCATTCGACTTCCATTCAGTATCACAGAGATATATTGGATGCTTGTGTGGCCTATAACTTGCGGTGGCCTTATACTCCCGAACAAGACTGGTCCAATTAGCCAACCTCAGATGGATGGGAAGAATGATTAAACTGAGGAGTGTCGTCCGGGATTAAAACCCGAACCATGCCTTGTGAAAGAGAGGAAAGTTGCCACTGCTCTATCGAAGCTGTGCAATATTATGCAACAAGGCAAAAGGATCATCCACTGTTCACGGTTTCCACAGACAAGTAGGACTTCAAAAAAAGCATCTCTTTCTGCACTTGATATAAGGAGTGACGGCTTGTGGTTTTTAAAGGCATGGTTCACAATAATTTTGAGGTACCCTTTTTGAGTTGAAAAGCGGAAATATTGATGTAGAGTAGTGCATCGATGGCGAAGAGAGTGAGGAAATCTGCCTGATTAGCGACAAATAAGGTTTTCCAGAAGTATGTAGTATAAACAGAGGTTGTACGAGATTACCACGACGGAAATATCATGGAAGGGATATTTGGAGAGATTTCAGCTGTTCCAGTTGTTCAAAGACCTGACTACGTCAGGCCAAAACTGTCCAGTATTGCCTTTCACTGCACGGTGCAGCCTCTACAGCGAAGTTTAGTCTCGTCCATTGTGGATGTGGCATTCTCACGATACAATATCTGGCCCCTTATTATGCCCTATCCACGAGGTTTCTCGATCTGACGTCGGCACATATGGTATCAGGAGGGACCTCGACCTCATTCTGAGACAGAAATTCAAAAAACACTCTTTTTTCGTGAACTATGCCTTTAACTAATTCGCTCAAAGTGCTTCATGCAATCAACTTTCACCCGGTATTGAAGAGACAGTCACATGACTTTTTGACTTCTACAATCACTGTCCATCGCAAAATTTAATCTTTTGGTTACCTAGTCAATTTTCTTTCTCTGCTGGACCAAATAAAAACACTATATCGCTCTTGTTTTGCATTGAGAAACTTGATGCTCAAAGATTTCACCTTTCGATATGACCAGTTTTTGTCTTACTCATGTTTTTCCTTACCACATGTAAATAAAGTAAATGTTCAACGGGTATCAAACACTTACAGCCTTCACGTCATTTCTATTCACACTTATTGTCTTTTAAGGTTATAGACCCTTTCGAAATTGTGAACTTGGTCTCCCAACCCTACGAGCTCCTAATTCTTCTGTCTCCTGACGCCTGCTTAAGTGCTTCAAGGGATCTTTGAAGACAGCTAGCCCCAGAGTACTTTCTATTTCATTTCGTTACTTGGCGTTTCATTCCTTACTCTGATTTTTCATTTTTCACTTGATCCAAAAAATATGGCATGTTTGATTGAAATACTCGATTTTCTTGTTCACTATGCTTATCCCACCAGGATGTTGCCTTGTTGTCTATGCTTCAGATAACTCGTATTGTTCATTACCATTGGAGACAAATTCTTTTTAATTTTAGATAACTTTTAATTAATTTTTTAATTTTAAGATTTAATCTTTTTGAGTATTATATCCTGACGTCACTGAGACTCAATTTCGTCTCGGGAAAACTTCAGCGAGCTCTTTAACAGGGGTGTGGTGCGTTAGGAACGAAACGGTCGCGTCGCGTTGAGAGGGGCGTCGCGCGCGAAGGAATGTAGTAGGACGCAGCAGTAGGTAAGAAATACAAGAACAAAAGTACTAATAGTAGAATTATGCATAAAATAATGATCGCATGTCGATTG